ATGGTCAAAAACAGCCTTTCAAAATTAAATTTGCATAAAACGGCAATATCTCACAGCACAGTATAGCACTGCGTTCAATGCAGTGTGGACATACCTGATGTCTGAGTTTTTAAAAAACAAACAAAAAAACTATAAAACAATAAAACGGGGGTACATATTGTAATAAATCTGCATCAGCATTACAAATGAAAAGTCAATATCACACAGTAATATAGCAAGTATCCAGTTGCCTATGTTCAGCCTGTGTATAAGGTCCCAAGGTGCCTTTCTACAAAGCTGGTTATACAGGCTGGAAGGGACATGTCTCCCACAGAAGCGTGTAGAGTTGCCGGGATAAAAACTTACAACAGTGTGCACTGCGGTGATCGCAAGTTGTGTGCCACACTATGGCAATGTCCTCATGAGGCCAGATGTCAATACAGGAATTAGCCAGTTGTGAGACATTTTGGAAATGCTCAACAACCGAGCCAGTCCTTTGTGATTTCACCCAACTTGACAATCTTCAAGCTGTTGTCTTCCAGTTTGAAATAGTGGTTACCTTTGAAGAAGTAGCTGTAATCTGTGAAAGACAAGCACAACGCACACTGTGTTTAAATATTTTATATTGCTTGTATAAAACAAGTAAAAAACCATGTACCACAACCATGTAATATCAGTAAAATAATCAAGATTCAACGAAAGCATAGACTAACTGTATAATCAGTCTCAGGCTCTGCTGAAGCAAATGTTAAGCCTCTCTCTCAGAATCATACTAATCAGGAAGCATACAGAGGCACCTCTGTAGAGGGGCACAGGCTTGCTTTATAGTAATATGTTTGTTCACTGTGTGGGGGAGGGGCTAGGTGATGCTTACGGTAATGTGTGTATGTTAGGAGAGCAGTAATGGAAAAATCCCCAGTTGCTTGCCATAGACAAAAATGTACATACCACCTCTAACCTCAAGGGTACATGGCTGACAGTGACAGCCTCAGAGGAAGTTTACCGATGGTATTATAATGAAAATTCACCACCATATATTTCTTGCACTCTGCACTGCTCACCAATGAGTAAAATACATATTAAAGGAATTCTTCTTCTTCTTAAAATGAACACAAGCCATCATGTGGTAGGCTATTCACTCAGCAAATTAAAAAATTAGCAATATTAAGCAACTGCCTCCCCTCTGTCTTCCATCAACATCAGACCACAGATGACTCCCTAACTTCAGTACTCCCTTTGGCCTGTTTTACTTCCTTTCATCGAACAGTCAGTTCCCCTAAACTGTTCATTTCTGGGTTATGACGCTAAATTGCATTTTATTGCTTGCTGGGTTGTGGGATATGAGGAGTTTTATTGAAAGAGGCACAGTGCCCGACTCGCTGATAAAGCTCACTGGATTTGCCTGTAATTTAACCAGAAGGAATGCTAGTCTGAATATGGTAAACGAGCACAGAACACCAGCCCTAATCCACAACCCCACAAATCCCTTTTCCCCTAAGACTCAGAAACAAATTGTAGGCCGAGGACACGTTTTGCTATTTTCAGGATAACCTGTAATACCGTCTGTGTTCCTATTTTTTAGTTTATTCTAGTGTCCAAAACGTAGTTTGCACTTTCCCATCATCTTCAGTTGTACTTTTTTGTTTAGGGCTAATTAGCAAATGCCAGCATGGCTTTACTAAGATGCTGTTTTTTTTTTCTTACCAATGCCATTCAGACTGAAGGCAGAGTCTATGCCATCTGGGAGGCCATTCCAGGAATCAGCAATAAGTTTGGGGAAGCCAGGGTCCATCCTCTTCCTATCTTCATCGTATCTGTACACAAAGTAAAAGTGCATGGTTTAATGAGCGCTACACAGTTTCCACACACATACACACTGCTCATACTTTTCCATGGAGATAAAGCAGTTAGTCGTCAACACTGTGAATCTCCATGTTGGGCAAGGGCTAAAAGAGCTGTTGTGGTTTGCAGTGCAGATTAGGTCACACTGAACACTAACCAGCTCCAGATGTAGCCCAGTACTGCAATTAGAGGTGCTGACATCAACAAAACAAGCTAGGGTCCATCAGAAAAGGGTTTAAGGCTCACAGATAGTTCAGTAGCTTTGCTGCTCCTCACCTCCAGAATTTGTCCTCAGCGAACAAGTAAGTCTTCCTGTTCTTCCTGAAGTTGAAAGCAGCATCAATTTGCTGCAGGTCAGTGGGGAGGTCAAGGCTGGAGAGCCTCTTTGGATAACCTGTCTCCAGTGCATCTGCTTTGTAGACCCACATCTCGTTGCCTGTGAGGGAGGTAAAAAAAATGTTGAACCATGGCTTAAGTAACACTGAAGACATTCTTTTAACACAAAACCATCTGATCAGGGTATTATACCATATTCCTCCAAATGTATTAACCAATTATATTATATCATCAGTGTGAGATCATGGCTTAACCAATCAAGGTAGTAAATTTTCCCTATACCCAAACCAGCTCTGCTGTTAATGTCTTCAAAGCGTGCAAATATATTATGTAAATTTCATTTGTATTCAGGAAGGTTGTCATATTGGTAAAATGTGAAGAATGTATCATAAACCACTAATAACTATGCTTGAATATCTTAAGTGTCCCAAGAGTGCACACCGCACTCTTACACGCTGAGCCAACATTCCTGCTTCTCCTAATGTTTCAGTTCGTAGAAACGCCTGACCGTTAAGGGAAAAGCATCCAAATGGTAAAAGAGTGAAGACACCTTTTCGTCACTCACTGAAGTGGAACTGTCTGTTTCTGTGATTACCACAGAAGTATAGGGAGGATAGGAACAGGGTGCACAGTTCATGCAATTTGACATCAATATTGAGCAATGTCTAAATCTGCCATTTCCTCGCAGTGTCTTGTTTTCTCCAGCGTACCTGAGAAGAACACTGTTTTTTCCTCCACTGGATTTTCATAGGCAGCATCTATCTTGGACGGCAGATCTGGCCAGTAGGTGGCCACTAGCATTGGGCCATTGGGCTTGCTTCTGAAGTTGACTGACCTGAACAGGAACCTGGCACAAAGAGAATGAGCGGGTGAGTGATTGTAAGCTTGATGAGCTGGGGATGAAATGAGAGTGAGAGAGAAAGAGGGGCTGAGGGGGTGATGAGGAGGTGGGGGAAGTGTGTGTGTGTGTGTGTAAGAGGAGGTTTTAGTGCAAGTGCTTCACTGGCCGAGCCAGCCACAATGGCCTGATTCATGAGCATCTGGTTCTCGTTAGGACTAAGGCTGCAGACGCCAGCGGAACAAGACCTATCTTGCCCGGATTTCCAATACACAGCTGCACAACAACGGCAGCTTCCCAAACTCTTTTCCACTGACCTATTTTTTGAAGAGAAAAAAATCTGCCAAATGCAAAAATGAGTTGCAATAAAGATAAAGTGAAGATGAGAATAAAACCTTACTAACATACATAGATATCCTCAGTGTTGTGTACATTTGTCAGGATGAAACAAGAGACATACTTCAATCTGAACTAGCCATCTATAAATTGCATTAATTTAGCAGTGTTTTTGTGGATCTATTTAAGTTCATGTGGTGTACCAACAATATCCAGGAGGCTTTTCTGTCTTTTCCTCCAGTCTCTAAGTAATGTCAAAACTGTGTGGTAATGCATTACGATGCAACAATAATGTAGTAAAAAACTTATATTTCACACAAGTTTTAAGTTAACAGTTTAGGTAATGTAAATATGTGATTTGATGTAAATGACAACACGCAAACACACTGTAGCGAGCGTATCAGTCTTGCTACTGTCCAGAGGAAACCTGTTTGGGCAACAGATTCAATAGAAAGGCCAACTGGCAGTTAACTGGGTGTTCTCAGTACTCTATGAACTAGCCTATTTTTGATACTTTTTATTGTTTTTATTATTATCTCTGCAATAGCCATTCAATTTGTGGTATTCACGGGAAAAGGCATGCATGTAATCCAGTGCGATTTGATGTCATTGATATCCAAGACTAAAATCTTAAGGATTGCCACTCAAACTCAATACTGTATATGGCTTCTGTTGGCTACATGCTAGGACGCAAGCATATGAGCGGGTTGGCCAAACAGTTTCTATGAGACAGACTTCATAATTGCCTTCTCCTTAATCCCCCAGACAGACAGACACAGTTTTATGCTGAGCTCAGGGAGTGCTACAAGCATTACTCACTGTATCATGTCAAGATTTGTCCTACATCATAAATATGCTGAGCCAGAAAAAGGAGCATCCTACATTTACAATAGCGAGAGTCAAGTGAGAATTAGCCCTGGAACACAGAGGGCAGCGCTTTTTCTCTGAAGCTATAAAACTTGGCTTGTACCCGAGCTCTGTACAGCTTACAAACCTGACATGGCTTTTAGGCAACTCATTAAGTTTTTGTGAAGGTCAACATAACAGGTCCATACTGAAACTTTACTAATCTCAGCCTTCAGATAGATATAATGTTCATCTCAGTACCTTGAGATTACTATGTCCTCAATTTCCCCCACTTGCCTTCACATCAGCTCTCAGCACATTTTCACATAGCAACTTTAAGGAATATCAAATCAGAAAAATAGTCTCGTATGGTAACACAAGAGAGCCAACAAACGCAGTGAGCTGCAGAACATGGCTGAACATGAAGCAAAATGGCCTTTGGATATCAATGTCTTAAATAAGTTTTCAGTTAAGCAAATGCAATATCTGCGTGCATATTTCAGCTACTGTACACAGGCCAATGTGCCTTTCCTCACAGGCTGAAAACTATTTCTTTTAGATTATGATAGTTTACACATCTGTTGAAATGAGCCCAGCTGCAAATACCCAAAGAGTGGTGTAGTCCCTTGGCTCAAATAGAACATAATGAATATCATAGCTACCAATACCCCACAAGCACCCAAATGGCATTTTGGCATCTGTGTGCTCCAATTAATGATCATAGCCTTGCTATACATTGATACGCATTATACAATGAACAGTTCAGATGGTTATCAGGTGCACTCATCTATTGGTTGTATAGTTCATCAGTTTTAATTTTCAGACTACTAAAGCATTATCTGAGGAGTCTGGTGAACCGCAGAGAATAAAGATCAGCCCAGGTTGATTTCCAAAACAGGCCAACGTTTGTCTGTGCTGCTTTGACGATCATTGCAAATGTGCTGAAGAGAGCCACAGCAAAGTAATTCTGTATTAAACCAGGATTTATGAGAAGGATTGTGGCCTGTTTCTCACAGTTTCTAACTTAAGGTTTTCAGAGAGGAAAACCAGGCTGACTGAAAGACTACACTCTTTGGTACAGAGGTATGCTGGCCTGTTTGCTTTGGACACATTTCCAAAATGGCCATGACAGATATACAGCTCTGTTAACCTTAAAATTGCAAGGAGTCTATGTTTCAGCACAGCTAGAAGTGTTAACACACCATAACTAACAAGGATTCTGTTTGTCTTTTTTATCAGTTCCATTTCTACCACATTACTGTTACATTACTGTTACTGACTCTCAGGAGAATTTGTCTATAACGAACTTCAGCTGCTGTGATGACGGTGTTCACCTTCCTACGGGAAAACACTCTGACTCACAAAGACGGTTGACAAAACCACAGTACTTGATGAAACTCTTCTACTACAGAAGGTCAGCCAGTAGACACAGTAAGCTTACAAGACTTTGGATTCACTGGCGCCGGCGAAGGAAAGGACTGTGTTTAGGACTGATGACTATTTTGGTTGTCAGTGCATAAGTAGAGGAATAGTTTGTTTTTCCCTCTTACTAATTGTCACATCATGAAACAAACAGGCATCTAAACCACAATGTTCAAGTGGCACAGAGAAACTATAATTAACAAGAAACTTCACGTCAGACTGCTCATTGTTTGTGGGGAAATGATTATGAAATCCATGCTGGCTTATTTCACTTGCACAAGTCATTAAACTAGAAGCAGGCTATTGGGTTCTGTTCGTCGTTCTTCCCATAGATCACAGACAGGAAATTCAACCAGACTTTGGCAGTGCTTGCAAGTTTCAAGAGAATCAAACATGGACTTCATGTTGCATTTATGACTCAGCGAGCTAATGAAAACATTGCAGCTAGAATATCCAAACAACATGGTCAGGAACCTTGATTCTTGATGGATTCATTGTTCCTGCTCCAACCTATTGTCCCCATTGCACCTTGTGTCTCAGAGTGGCATATGTACACTTGCTAAAGTCTAGTTCATGTCAGAACAACATTAGGACTTCTTGTTTGATTTGATTACCTGTCCTTGAAGAAGAAGGTCTCCCCTCTGATCTGTGCTACAGCATCAAAGATAACTGGCTCTTTACAGATGTCCATTGGAGTGACTGGGCCCTGGGTTGGAGGCAAAGGCTTGTCTGTTGGCACACCTGTTTACAAGAGATTTCCCAGAATATTTCACCTCGGAGGGAGTAATTACACTCACAGTACATTAATCTTTCCTGGCTTCTAATAAGAAAAAACGTTTCTTTTTTTTGTTCCAGTATTAGGCTTAATCCCTGTCCAGGAAACTAGCCGCACATGACATTTCATCTCACCGTAGAGCTCCTGGATGCCTTTGATGTCATCCTGAGAAAGTCTAAAGTCCTTAGTGTAAGTGTAAATGGGGGCCATCAATGCTCCAGGGTCCTGAGAGTGCTCCAAGCCAAGGGCATGACCAAACTCATGGGCTGCCACCAGGAACAAACTGTATCCTGGAAACATAGACAGTGAATACCCCTTAATAACAAGTAGAACATGGGAATTGGATAATATGGATCAGTCTTTCAGTTGTTAGCTACAGTGGTTTTACTTCATGTATTGATTCGTCTGATGGTGAGACACATAGATAATACATATTGTTTATTGGGAGTGCCAAATGACTTGCATTCATCTCATCAGGACAGATCAACCTAAACCTATTTCCCTGTTTATCAGTAATGTGCCTGAAGTAAGGGCGACAAAATATTTAATATATAGTATAGTCTTCATAGTTTTCTGTAATTGTCTAAACTATCTGGCACTCGTTGTCCCTCATTTAGCGGCAAATCCACTTCCCAGAACTACAACAAGAAATGTCACGTAAACTATTCATACCTTGGTCAGGACAGAAACCCCATTTGCGGTCATCATCATAGCTCTTGGTGCTAGCGCACCACATTTTGCCATCGCTTCGTCCAGAAGTGGTGCAGGACTCATATGTGTCTCCCAAGAAGGTGAAGGGAAAGACACAGGGGCTTCCCTCTGCATTTCCTCCCACTGTTGACATGGCTGGAGGGAGCAGAAAAAGATAAAACTGTAAATGTGAAATGTGGATCACTGATCCACTGCACTGTCTAATGAACACATTCATATGCCGAAATGTTGCTTCAGAACAGTTCGGTTTGTATTATATTTTGAAGGGAGTGCAAATGATGTTGTAAACAGCATCATGAAAGCACTGGCACAACACACATGACATCAATAACTAATCCACTGGGCACAAAACCAAAAAGCACCCGTCCAAATTGATTTTCTTTCAAAGAGATAATTTTCAATCTGGCAAGACTGGATTTGTTTTGTTTTTTTTTTATATATAATTTCATATTCAGCACAAGATAGCGCACACAGCTTTACAACAAAGCTACATTCCTAATCAATTAGAACCAGATGAAAGCTCAAGTGGTTGTACCTCTCTCTGTCTATCTGTCTCTCTCCCTCCCTACCATACTACCTCAACCTTAAAACCAGTCCCACTGACAAAATGGAAAATAAGCCCTGCCACTGCACATTAAAATACTTTCACAGCCACTCAGCAGACCACGAGCAAGACCGAAATCCCCAGCTGGAGCATTCCTGTAGACCAAAGCACAGCAGGGCACCATATACTGCGCATCAAAATAAACGTAGCCAGTAAAATGCACTGTATGCATCTAAGCAAGCACATAACCCTTAAACAGCACACTTAAACAGAGGGCAATGTACGACAACAATGCACAACAGAATGGGACAATATTCTATTATGTGATCAGCATAACAGGCAGTAGATGACACCACTTACCAGTTTCAGGGCAGAAACCGAAGGATTTGTCGCGGTCATAGTCCTCAGTGGTGGCACACCAGCGGTAACCATCATCCCTGCCTTCAGTGGTGCATCCATCATACTTCACTCCCTGAAAGTTGAAGGGAAATTTACATGGAGCGCCATCTCCGTTGCCACCCAAGGTGAATAGTACTGTAAAGCAAATATCAACAAATACAAATTAGTGTTATAGAGAAACAAGTAGCATTATACATATTACATTCACATTTTTTTTAATGCTTTCAAAGTATAAACTCCAATTCCTACATTATCATTGCTACCAACTAAGACCATTGGACCCCTGATTGATGATGTAAGACATAGAAATCTGAATTAAGCAAAATAGGTGGAATATCAATAATACAAGAGCTTAACAGAGCAGACAGATTCAGTCCAACCTTGTGTTCTCATCATCTAAAACAACTTAGTACATGTGTACTTTGGCACTTCGATATAACAAGCATGCGATCATGTTAGTACCATGGACAGCAACATAACACAGATAAACAAAATGTTTAACAAAGCCCAGTGTTCTAAAGTGGGGCAGAGAGTTGGAAAAGAAATATTCCATAATCCACTCCAAACAGAAAACAACACTTTCCTGGCATACTGTTCAACCTACTTTCTTTCTGTCCAAAATCAGCAGAACAGCTTTGAATATAGCAGTAATCTGATATAAAGTAATACGTTGCCAGTATAGAAATAAGTGCTTCAGTTTCAGTTCAGCAAGATGCAAGTAAGGCATGACACCAGTGTTGCTGAGGTCAAGTGGGGCCATGAGATGCCAAATCTGTGCAGATACTGTAGTGAAATGTGCCACATTGTTATGTCAAAAAAAGAACCACAGGGCACACTTACACTCATGGGGGCAGAAGCCATATTTGCCATCTTCATCAAAGTTGTAGGTAGTTGAGCACCACAGGAAGCCATCGTCACGGCCCTGAGAGGTACAGCTGTTGTACTCGGTGCCCATGAACAGGAAGGGGAATTTACAGAACTCTCCATCAGCATTGCCAAACTTCACCTTCACCACTGTTGAAAAGATCAATGATTATATGACACATTTTAACAAGGAAAAACCTTTTAAATATTATATTATTGTCATCCATTTTTTCCCCAAACAATTTTAAAAGTGACATGCTGTTCAATGTGATAGACTGCCTATCTGAAGCAAGCAAGTTCCTGCAAGTAAACTTTAATACTGTTTTAAACTAAATGGAACCAAAGTGGCTACCTAGACTATGGGAAGACATTTAAAAAGTAGGCTCTCAAAAAACAGTCAGCACAGTTTAAAAGTAAAGCACATATGATGAATTATAGTAAATGGGGTATAACTTGCAAACGCACAGAAAGAATAAGAAAACAGCTCGATCTAGGTTTTTGTGAGACTTGAGAGAGGGAAATAAGTTCTGCACAAATGATGAATTCAGACAAGAGGATCTGAGTAATAGGAAACATAAAACTATCTGGGTCAATGCGTGCAAATACAAATGCGTACAATAGAGAGTTTCTTTTTTCTATTCAGCTTCCAGATGGCTGAGGTTCGTCATATCGAGTGCCAGAAAGTTCAGATAAAGTTAAGAAAATCGAAACAAAGTATCTAAAAGTCAAATGTATTATGTATTATCAATGTCAAAATCTGTGTAGGTCATCTCACCAATGTTTTTAATGTCACCTGTAGTGGTACCTACCATTTGTTTTGAATAAAACACTAGACATGTAAAATCCACCTAATTGGTGATGCATGTTAAGACAAATTGACACAAATTTTATGCTATTACTGCTCAAATCACAGTTGTAGTGGGGAATGGTGGAGCTTCTGCAATATGCTTTTAGTTTTAGGAAATAGTGTTTCCCCATTACCTTGGCCGTCTCCCAGCGTCCACTGCTCATCATCATCAAAATGGGAGTCTCCCCCAATTCCTGGCCCTGGAGCGAAAGCATGAGCCAAGAGGCCATCTTTGCCGTCGAAGGGGTAACCATCTCCATGCTCTGTTGATGACATCATTCAATATTAACAATTACATTTTTTTATTTTATTTTAATAATCTTTAATTAAAAATTAAGAAGTCGTTTTCTTTATTTAAACAGGCACAACTGGTACAACTGTGAAGCTATTAGGTAGCTAGTTTCAAGAGAAAATAAAAAAAACTAGAAAATAATAGTTGTACACAATAAAACATCAAAATATTCTTCTTCTATTCTAATGTCCCTAAAACAAGAGTTTCACATCTTCTGAAGTGGTTGGTTTTTGTTTGTGTTCCAGCATAATTTCTCATAAGGTCAGCTATGGCTAGACAGAACAATATTGTGACACTGAATAAATATCCAGTGAGTAAATATCAAATGGTTGTTTTAGTGGGAATGAACAGAATTGCCCGTGTGAACACCACAGTTCTAATTATTTTAGTGTTTCTAAAATATAGGTTGGCGATGTGCCGCATGAGTCACTGTAATAACATGGGTTATTGCTCCTTCACCATTAGTCAACAAGGCAGTGAACTTCTGTTCAACTCTTTCCTAACTCGTCTTGGTAGTGGGAGGCAACTTCATATAATCATGACTTAGTTCTTAGAGTGCATAAACAGTCCTTGGGGAGAAAATCTTTGAATTTTAACGTACAATACCATTCCTGTGCCTCATTAAGTAAGCATACATGCACTACTGTTTACCATATCCCAAGGCAGGAGATCAGAATTGAGACAACGATGACAGATGATAGCTTCAGTAAGCATGTTTTTTTTAGGGCAAATGGGATATTTTAATATAAAATAAATCTAATTTGTTGATGGAATTTGACTGGCAGGCATACACAATATTAATCCAAGAAGTGGTGCCAGGTTTCTCACACAACAAAGTGCCACCTGTTCATAGATACTGACTGTACTGCCCAAAAATATAGAGATAACCTGTCGATAGCTCAACTCATTACACTTATTACTATAGTTATTTATAAATACAGTATGTATATACTGTCTGTTGTCTATATACATGCATTACCATTGCGGCCAAAATTAATCATGATGTCAGCCTCTCCGTCCATGAGGCGGGTAAATGAGAGCGGGGTGACGTCACTCCATACTTTGAAGGCTCTGAAGAAAGCATCATTTATGACCTCCTCATCCAGATCGGGAGTGTATCCGAGGATTCTGCAGAGTTAACAGAGTCAATAAGTAAGTAATCAGAATAGTGGTGGTGTCATGTTTGGAAAAGCATGTAGAAATATCATAAGATCAAATTTTCTCTACTCCACATCATGGAAAACAATCCGTCTACACCATGCCAATAACAGTCTGTGAATCCTCTGGTGAAAATGCTTCTGAAACACTGTTGAGCCACAAACCCTGTTATAGTCCTTTCCTAAAAGCAGTCTAAGATCTCTTAGTTGTTATTGTCTTTGGCTTGCAGTCTTCCTTAAAAAACACACAGGCAGACGGGCTGGAATGATCAAGGCACACAAAACCGCTGATATAAATAAACCAGTTCCACATTGTTGTAAACCTCAAACAGAACGAAAACAAAAGACCTGACACATACTGTGTAGGAATGCTGGTGTTAGCAAGACACAAGATGCAAGAGCTGCAGTGACTGTCTGGATGGGGGTGGGGTGGACTGGAAGTTGAGGGGAGGGAAGGGTGGGTGGGTCAGGCTGTGGTCCATCTCTCAAAGCAAACAGACTCTGGCTTTGTATTTATACTTTTGTGCAGTCACTAAACTCTGCTTTGGGAATGACATTCAAACTGTTAGATTGTGGCATTATGGGGTGACTCGGGCATATTCCAAGTTGTGTTTCCCAATACTTATGGGTTGATTTATGGGCTGAAATTGGGTGGGGTCAACTTATTTTACCGTTATTTTACCTTTCTGTGGTTGGCACACATCATATGATGCCCTAATGTGGTCCATGCAAGGCATCTAAAATAACTTTGTACCTTTCTTATGGGGCATACTGCTTAAAACTTCCATGATGTCATTATTTTCACAGTGAACTGGGACCCACCCCCATTATAAAATACTTTACAGGATAAAATCCAGTACTTCCAGTGCAGGACAATCTAAAACTACTCCAGAAAAGGTATAGGTAAAGCAATTCCCTAACCTGTAAGTGACGTCTTTCTTTTGCCACATGGGTTTCCTGTGGAAGAAGTTGTAATTGGCCACATCTGGGACGCCACAGCGGGGCTTTCTCATGATATCCACAGTTTTGGCATCAATCTCTCCAGTTTCTTGCAGAGCAAAGAACTTTTGCATTTTCTTCAGGGTGTCCTTAAGCACCATAAGGTTACATCTGTCTTGTGGGCATCCATAAAACTTATTCAGATAGTGCTAAAAGAGAAACACAGACATACAAATGGGTTGACTCATCCAGGATTAAGTATTTCTATGAAGTAATTGCAATAAATAATAAAATAAAAAAAATAATGATTTGCAAACTATTCCCCAACATTTGAGTTTTTATACTTTAAGAATTCAAAATGTTACTTCCCAGCTGTTTAACCCACTTTTACATAGTTTTATGAAAAACAACCAATAAACTTACCAGAGCAACTTCTTTGTCTGTTCTGGGGGTATCGTCTCCAGGAAACCTGATAATAGGCGATGGGGCAGCATATGTTGCTTGAAAAGCGATGAACTGAACCAAAAATACTTTGAGAACCGTCCGACGACAACTAAATATCGTCGGAAAGCCCATTTTCCTCTGTTTTACTGTGTCTTAGCTGTGGTAAATGCCGTTCTCTCTCGGTTGCAGTCTTTCCACCCCGTCAGCTTGTGTTGCCTCTGCTCCTCTGCAGGATTTTTTTTTCTCCTTAACGGGACATCCTGCACTTCGGCTCTATGAACTTTTTCAGTTCTGCTTGCACACGCACTTTTTCCCCCCCGACAGCTTTCTGCGCAGTCTCCAGGTTGAGAAATAGGAGCGGGGGAGTCCACAATCAAACACACATTCTTACTCATTTATTCACTTCCCAGTCAGCCTTGTTTTTTTGGACTGACTGAAAAGAATTAAATATGATATGTCCAGAAATTACAGCTGATGCAGTGTGGATGGAAATAACTGTGGGTGCTGGATGGTCAGTTTATGGCAATTATCATACACCGGATTCTATAGGACTAAATGTTGCAACAGTTGTAGTTTTTAAATAGTTAGGTTATTCTTTCCCAGATATCCTTTGGCTAATGTTACTAAGTAAGTAAGTAAGTAAGCAAGTAAAACTTTATTCATATAGCACCTTTTTGACACAGAGATCCAAAGTGCTTTCCAAACAACAAATAAATAAACACACTTAGGTCAGCATGATGCTGCGTTGTTGTATCAGACTGATGAACTGTCTCCTTTGCTGCCAGCCTCACTGTGGCACAACTGGGTTAAGTTAACCTATGGCATTAGTTAACGTACTCAGAGTCACTTATGTCCCATCTGCCATAAAGAAATTGTAATGAAATCCAATCTTTCTGCCTATTTTGCTGTGTTACTGCGCACTCTGTGTTTTGATGAAAGGGCATGTTTTAGTTGCTGCCTGGCTTTATATTGTGGATATGTGGCAGGGCTAGAGCCTGCAGGTAGACTACAACATGCACACTGAGGGGTGCGCGCAGTGATTCACTTGATATCCATTCATGATAAAAGGCGTTATGACGCATCCCGACTCCCAGTAAATAAACTATTATTCCTGCTCAAACTGGAAATCTCCCCTTTCTCTAGGATAGCCTTTTCTACATGATCAAATGAAATAATGAATCATTCTGTCATTCTAATGAACTCCTTTAGTGTAACAGTCCCAAAGCTGTTATTTTTTGGTGTAAATAAAACACCAGTGAGTATATTACTTACACAGACACCCAGCTGTAGACGGGCCAAAAGTTATTTAAAGTGGTATATTGACATCTGGTGGCGGGATGTGAAAATTCACCTCAGTGTCAGGTTAAAGAGGGCAGAGTGAACCGCGTGTAACCAAAACCACACTGGTAACACTAATTTATGTCTTTCTTAGTTTTATTTTTTACATTGAGTCCACTTCCACCTACACTTTTTTGGTGCAAACAACTTTATTAAAGTGAAGATTCTGTCAACATTTTCACAGCTTGGAAAAATCAAAGCTCACACTGTACACGAAAAAGAAAGAAAAAGGGCCAAGCAGGTTGGGGCATAAAAATTTGCAGATTAAATCTTTACATATATTTAAATATATATTCTTTGCTCATTAAGTAACCTAAAACTCACTCACCTTTTATTTTTATTGAATGTAACTGTTGTTTTATGGTGTTTCTGTGCTGTGACACCTGTGTGAAGATGCTCTCTTGATAATTAGAACTACTTATGTTATTTTTCAGGTTTTAAGTTTTACTTATTTTTTATTGCTTTTTCCACTCCACCTTGCCTAACTCTGGGGAGGTACTGGATGTTGCTGTGAAGTCATCACCATGTGTTGCATAAAACCAGATCACTGACTCATCACATGATCCATGAAACAATTCACTGCCAGAAATTCAGATCACTATACAGTGACTCTCACCTTCTGAACTAGAGTCAAATTCAGGACAAACTGTACAGAGTGAGTTGGTTGAGGTTGCAGCAAAGAGCCTTCAGCATCACTGCCCTCTGGTGGCTGACATACGCCTAGCATCTCTAGTCTCTTCTAAAGCCCTTGAAGCCAGTCTTCTTTACTGTCTGGTAGTGTACCGCATAGATATAGGATTTACTGTAACTCTCTTTGACATCTCTTTGTTTCCGCTCTCATGTGCTGTTCACAGTAATCCAGTATGACTCCTTAATAGAGAAAGCTGAAGGACTTTTTTTGCAAAGACATCTGACAGATGGATAGCTCACAAACAGGATTTTGTGGTATATCTAGCAAAGCAATTTCCCTTCCCTTTAGCCAGAGTACAGTTAATTTTTCATAGCCGGGGCTGCTGCTGGTGGTTGCAGAGTGAATTTAACATCCATTTGCCAACAATATCCAGGGCCTGTCACTTTGGAGCAGGAGCTTTATTTCATGCACTGATACATGCTGCCATCTCCTCCAACTGACACACTCTCAGTGATCTCTGGCAGAGCCAGGGAACAGAATGGCTACCTATTAAATGTACATGGGCTTGCCTCTCCAAATAGAAAATGCTGAGATGTGAAAAGTTGAGCCACAGCTACAGTAATTGAATGCCTTTGTGCATATGAATGCAATTTTGCAGGCGAAAGTGGCATAAAGAGATTGTGATGATAAGGTTTGATTTGCATGTAAATTGTTTTCTTTTTTTGCCTCCCTTGAATGCTTAAGCTTCGTCTAGATTGAAGCGTCTCACAGTGTGTGTGTGTGTGTGTGTGTACGTGTGTGTTTTGATGAAATACGGTTTGCTTTTGTGTGAAAATGTGTGTCTTGTTGCTGTTGATTGCAAGTGCATCTCATCCGTTTGTATTTGTTTGTTGCTGAGATGGCTGATTTAAACACAATCATGGTTTCGTGCAATGCTTTACACTCGTAGAGCTGATTTGTACTTCAGCATTTACACTGCAACACATAAATTATACACGGCAGCTTCATTACGGACAATTTCGTTTTAGTGGGAACAGCTTTCTGAGTTTTCTACATTGTAATGCATATGCGACTTAATGCGAGGCTGCAATATGCTTGCTCTGGTCCTGCACTATACAAACTCATGTCATTAATTATGAGGATGAGCGGATACCTCCAGCATGCCAGCATGGCCCCCTCTTGCGACTGGGAATGGGACATTCTGGACATGAAGGCCAGTCGTATTATGGCTCTCCAGCTGGCTCTGGATCTTCAGACCCACTGATTGACCCCAGTCCAGCTGAACAGACCGCAGCCCTGGATGTCACCCTGTTCCCTCACCCTGGTCCTCTGGCTCTTGCAAGGACCCAAACAGATTCTCTGAAGGGTCATCAAACCAAACTGCCTGTATAGCTGGCTAGCACCAAGGTCATGAATGACAAATATCACAGTCCCACTGCTGCTCCATCCGCTCCTCTCCTCTCACTCCAACTCAGAGTTGCTCAGAGAGGATAGAGTGTGTAATGTTCAGTGCTGTTTGGTCCAGGCTTGAATACATAGTTAGCCTGGGTGTGTAGTTAATACTGACACTGAGTGGTTTAGAATCAGTCTATTGGCATTGTTTGTTTTATGTGCTTTGCAGGAGTAATTAAGCAATGGTTGCTGAGTAAATGAATGCAGCAACAGCCCTGTCAATAAATCTGTTTCAAGATAACTTAATTTGGCTAAGCACTGTGTTACAGAATACTGTGACACATATTATATCACTCGGTTTGAAACATTCCGATGATGAATTATTGAACATAAATCCATTATCTTGAACATATTTTATTTATGAATGCACCAAGACACTGGAGGACTTTAACACTGCAGGGTAATTATTGTTCCACATTGTGTCACCACTATTCTCTCAGATGCAACTGCCAGAGCAAACTGCAATGAATCAAAGAATTGTAGGGTTTTGATTGACATTTTGTGTGTGCACAAGGCCCAAAGCGACATTAGCCGAATTGCTTTATTTAATGCTTTCTCCCACATTCTGTTTCTCTTTTAGCACGCCTTGTAAACACTGATGCAATAATGCATTCCATTATACAGAGGAGAGGAGATGAGTGTCTCTCGTGGCTCCTCTCCATCTCAATAATAGGTCAACAGCTGTATTTAAAAAATTAATCACATTCTTGGCAGTTGCAAAGGTTAGCCGCAACGCTCTGAGATGCAATATTGGAAGCTCAGATCAGCAGCAAATCTCGGTGGAGATGAGGAAGAGTTGCCTTTGATGAGTACAGCATGTAAATGATTTGTGTGTGTTTATAGGACACGGGGCTGGCCCTGCCTCACTCCAAGACAGCGGTGTCGGCACCACTCTGTGGCAGAGGCTGGCAACAGCAGATGGGAATAAGCAAGACAGGGGAGGGCTGACCCCACTACAGCACTTCACAGTTTGTACTCTCTTTCAGCACAATGTTTTTCGTTCTTTTTCCTCTCCCAGTATATCTCTGTTTTTGATTCTCAATTTCTTAATTCTGAGATTTCTTTTGTATCTTCCCTGCCTTGTTTCTTGTAAGTGCACTTATATTTAAGTTTGCAGTCAAAGAAAGTCTCTGTGATCAGAGTATGTGCCAGTTACAGGACCTCTGCAATTAAATACATTTCCTAAATATCCTCAGGACTCGTGAGTTTTAGTTATCACAACTCAGGACAGCGAAACAGCTTGTTTGTGCTTGCTATGTTTCCTGATGGAGACATTATTGGCCTGTTAGTCTGATCTTTTAAGAAATTCAAATATTGATGCCTTTCTCACATCAAAAACAAATTACCCTCAAAGATATCTTGAGGTACATGAAGATGAAATATAAATGTCTGCCTCGGATTGCTTTTAGTATCTCTGAAATATTCACCGTGGTATTTTTGGAGTGCCGTGGCTCTTGCGTGTTTTGCGCATGCAGGCTGACACTTGGGGATGAATTTTTCAGCAGTGATCTGATTTGGCCGTCATCGTAAATGGATAGCCTTGATAAGTCAGGAACATCGGTACCTGGATTGTTGGATGAAAATGAAATACTGCATGATGCAAGTGAGTGAAAGGAGTGTTGAAATGCTGCCGTCTGTCTGCTGCTCTTGACAGTCCTGAGAGCTGTGCCGCAGATGAGCTATTATGTTGTTTGCACATGTCGGCTTCGGAAGCTTCTGTCTGTCTACTAGTTGCTTTTACACAAAAAAACAATAATTATTACTTTACCTCCACAATTCATCCGAAAATAGTTTGTTTTATAATCTGAGGGTCCCACCTCAGCCATAGGTCATACATTAACACCAGTTTTTTATGCTAATGGTGATTTTTTTTTCTCCC